ACAGACAGAACTTTACAACAGCTGTGTTAAAAGCTGGTGTTTGGAATTGGATTAAGTCAGCATGCAGCTTACAATAGTATTCTGTTAAAACCAGAGTGGGCAAGCTTTGCCACTACTGTGCCTGGGAAGCTGATATAAAACTACCTGCTGTCCAGAGACAGGCTTTGTCTGAGCTCGTAGGAGGTGGCAGATGACTATGCAAGAGTAGTCTCTCATGGGGCTGCCCTACTTCAGCCTACAAAAGGAAAAACTTAAAACTGGTGAAATCTAGCAAGCATTAYGGGCAGACAGGAGGTGAGAGAACAAATGTGAGCTCAGACATGAGGCCAGGGAAGAGAAGGGCTATTTCTAGGTGCTGGAGATGTCACAGTGCTCAAGGGGTTGAAGGGACTATGAGGAAGGGAGAATTCTGTGATTGTGAAAGGGTTTAACTGGGAGGAAATATGCCATATTTCAAAGCTGTACTAGATAGGAAGGGGGAAAAGTGAAACTGAAGAGTAGGCATACATGAGACACTACTCATCCTCTCTCTTCCSCTAAATGAAAACACCCCAGTCATTCTTCTGATGGTAGGATCATTTGAGGGAAGAAATGCTGGTAACTGTTCATAAATGCTCTGTAGTAGTGATGACCTGTTCTCCTGTTTTAGTCCAAGAATGTTTTACTGCAAGAGGAAGAACACGTGAACACTTACCTGCATGGCTACTGACACCCCAGTTATATTTTTGGCACTAGTTTACTGCTGGTTTCTTGCTGCTTGTCTAAGGATTGTAGGGGAATGGGAAGAATGCTGTGGAAGTCTGTTTCAATGGAGAATTGAGTCTTACCTTAGTATATAGACTGTTCTCTGACAAGTTGTTGTTGTCTGAACAAGTAAATTTCTCTTCTATAAATATTTCAAGACCCAGAAGTAACTTGACATTCCCTGGTTTTGTTCATGTTTACGTTGAACATTTGAGCATTCATAGCAACATAATGTAATTGTGTTCTGCCTTTTTGGTAATTTTGGTAATAATTTGAAACTTTGAAAGAGTGATTAGAATTTCCTTAGAATTATGAAACCTACTGTAACCACTCTTTGTTYCTTGAAGGAGCACTGATACATGTATAGCATAATAGATGGTATAATTAATGATGCTGAATGGCTAATCAGGCAAACTGGGGAGCTTGCAGCCATCAGAAAACTGTCAGTATTGCTACTACTTGACACTGTTACAAATGGCAACCATGAGCACCCTTACAGCTACCTTAAGATGGGTCAGCTACCTTAAGATGGGTCTGCTGGAAACAATTCCAAAGTCCAGTTTGTCTTTCCATTATTTACTTTCTCTTTTCAATAGATGCCAAAAAATAGCATGTTTTCTTGAATGTTTACTCCCTGTACTTTATCAAGACTTTGTACTGTAGGCTTAGGCTGGGCTTTTTCACCAGCAAAGAAGTTTAGCACTTTTATAACATGGCCCTTTGGAATTTTGAACTCACAGGRAAAATCAGAACTGCATAAAACAAAAATCAAAAATTCTACATTTTCAAGAGATTAGGCAATGAAAGGTGAAACAAACTATTARTGTTAGCTTTAGGTTTAAACAAAAGCAGCAACAACAGAAAATATCCTTCAGAAGACTTCTTTTGCACTTAGTGTGCCCAAAGTTTGTGTCTGGAAAAGGAGACCATTCATTTCCAGGTGCCATGTGGATCCATGAATGCCAGTTGCTCAGTGTTCAGCTCTAGATGTGAAATGTGTTCATGTTTTGAAATGGTGGACATGAAATTGCAGAATTCGTGAATACGTATTTGACGTTACAATCTGCATGGTGTCAATATTCTGTCAATTTGAGCTTTTTTAGGCTCCAGTGCTATTTAAAGGAAGCCTTAACTTTTTCTTGATGATAACCACCTATGGGAAGTTGATATGAAAGGATGATTATTTGAGCAAGGATATGAAAGTTGAGTCAGAGCTTCTTGAAGAATGAGCTTTGTTCTTTGCTTATTTCCATTCCARTGGRAGAGATAGTYTTACWTAGTCCAAGTAACATGGTTGTTGCATGAAGACTTTTTTTCCTATAGAATTGCCAACTCATTAGTACACTGTAGAGGAATGTGGTATTTCTGGTATCCCCCTTCAGTGACTAGATTAAATAACTGATGAAAGCTTGTTACTTTGATGCTGTTTCTTGTTGTCTTTATAATAATGGTTGACTAAATATCCTGCTTTTATGCTTGATTCCARTACTTTTGTTTGTATACCATATCTTCCTGCTTCTGTCTTCAAAACCTTTGCATTTAATTCTGTGTAATTCCTTCTTTTAGGGAATGGTGCTTCACAAAAAAACCTTTAAAACCATTAGTTGAGGGAATACCTAGAGTAGTTTCTTAATGATTTTTTGTCATGACTTAAGAGAGATTCTCTCTCAAGATTTTTTTGAAAATATATTTGAATGCTTGAATAATTACTTTAATAGAAGCTTTATAGTAAAGTACCAAGCAGCGGAAGAATTAAGAGAAAAGATCATCTGTTTGACCTGCTTTTGGAAATGGAGATCCTAGAGCTCGCTGTACTCACTGGATGAGTTTGAGTTCAGAGCATTGCTACAGTCCAGCCTCTGCAGAGAAGTTGGGCTTGCTGCAAATCGTGTATAGGGAACATGCTGTACTAGGCAAACAGATTTTCACATGCTTACTTTGACCCCTCTTGAGTGAAAATCACTCAAGAAAACAGGATTTTGTTCCTGTATGTTTTTGACTGGGTGAACGAGTCCAGCACAATAGTCATCAAGCATGTTACCATCATCTTTAAATAATCAAATACAGCTGATAAAATGTGTTTGTTCCTCTAGCTGCCTTTTGTAGTGTAGAACTTTAACTCACTAAGTCATACAAACTTAACACACATGTTTGTACAGCAGGACTTTTTTCTGTTTGGTTTTTGAGGGAGTTGTTTGGGTTTTGTACCTTGTTTTGCCAGGAGGCTATTTAGAAAAGGAATTTCTGACTGGTCTGGATTTATTATTTTCCTAGTGATTGATTATTGAAACATGATTTTAGAAAACAATATGAAAAGTTTTATAAAGCTGTCAGGTTTGTTCTATGATGTGCACATATGACAATTTTTTTTTTAATCAAACATGTAAATGATTTCTGTTATGTTGTTTGGAGTGCTGTTTTAGAGGTATTTTTAGTAAGTGTGAAGTTGTGGTTTGTGGTGTTCTCATAGCACAACAAAGCTTGTATGCTCTTCAGTGTGTTCCGTATATTCAGCGGTCCCTTTCAGTAACTTACTAAAAATTCTAAAATATGGCTGATAATTTTGTCTCRGATGTTTAATATCAGGCTACAACAAAGCTGTATACGAATCAGAATCAGAATTCTGCATCGTAATATCATCAAGTAATAAAGGTGCACCTCTAAAGGGAGCTCTGATGCAAAGCATTGGAGCGTGTATGTTATATTCCGTGACCARTAGTATGTAATTCCCTAATGCAGGTTTAGTATATGTTGTGAGTGAGGTTTCTCTTTTGTTACTGAATTGATCTGAACTGAGGGAAGTAGCTTGGACATACCTTCCTTTATCARCACTGTTCTTGTTTTTGCTTACCTGATACAGGATCTTTTGAGACAAGTTATCTAATCCTGTCACACCACCTACTGTTGAAAGGAAGACATTGGGAGAGTTTTTCTTGTCTAAAGTTTAGTGCAATCCCCTTAATGTCATGCTTTTTTGGGTTTGATGAAAATTGATAGTTTCTTGGTTATTAGTATTTAAGAGTAGAAATCCTGTAGTAAACTAATGTTGCATAAGATGAAATTACTAATTTTGTCATATTTAAGCAGGTTTTTAGTTTAAGTGAAGTTGAAATGTGTTTTATGATGAAAGGAATAAAGGGAGTATTCTCTTTAAGTAGAAATTTGATGGTTCTAGGTCAAATCTGAAGCACTGTAGTTTTCTCTTTTCCCATAAGATAAATTGACAGACTTGAAAATGGCAGTGACATAAAAAAATCAAGGTATTTTAGATAGTTTTTGTTACAATCAGTAAAAAAAAATTTCTAAAAAATATTTTCTAAAAAAAAGTCTGTCTTCCATATATGTGTTTATACAAAAAAAATGAAAACCTCCCACTCATATTCAGAAGGCTCTCTTAGGATCTTGATATTGAAGCTGACAGGAGTCAACTCGGAGCTGAYAAGAGAGGTCTTTGTGTCTCTATCTTCTCTGAGCCATTGAAATTTTAATCTAAGCACACACTTTTCAGGAATAAACTAAAAGCTTAATTTGATTAAACTCAAATTTTCTTGTGGAAAGTGTATTTGCTGTGTTAGTAGTTCAAGAGTAACCTCTTTCTATACCTACCTCCTCTATAGGTAGTTTTGCTACTGGATTAACTTAGCTGTTGGGTGTTTCAACAAGCTCAGATGAAAACAGGACTTAATATAATAATGATTTTGCCCCAGCTTGCCATTAAGAACTTCGTTTTGGAAGTGCTGTTAAACTAGTTCTGCAGAACTTGTCAGTTTTCAATATATTATATGTGTACAAAGCAATTTGATACCCTGATGCTCTTACTCCTTGAAAGGATATTATCTTTTAGAGTGTTCTGTCAAAGGGGAGTGGAATTGTGAATCTATGTGCTGGGGAGGAACAAACAGAAGACTCCTTTCTTGGATTGTCTTTGGAGGTTATATTTTTGTGGGATTGCCARTACAGCAAACCATAATGTGAGGTAGAATGCAGAAAAGACTTTTTTCTGTATGCAGATATCTGCCTTGAAGGCCAATCTGTAAAGCTCTTGGCTTGTTTCTGAGGCTTTAAGTCCTTGGAACTGTTTTTCTGAATTTACACCACCTTTTACCAATAGAAAGTAGGTTAAGCCATTTTATATGGATTTTTACTGTGTAAATATTTTTATTTGTAGGCATRTATGTAAAAGATGCAATTGTTTCAGTTTCTTCCCTGGTCCTTCTGTTCTTCTTTCTCCTTCCTCTTTTCCCACTATTTGACAGGTGTRGGATCTTTGCCTGGAGAGAAGCGTGCCTCAGTGAAAAATTCTCCAGCCTTGTGGACTAGCTCGTGYAAATCCCTTGCCAAATCCAAAGTGCCTGTCAAAAGATCAGTGCTTGAGAGAACACCTAGCCTRTCATCAGTCAGCAGTGCTCATAGTGAGCAAAGTCTTTTCAGCACTAATTGTAAGTATATGTGGGGGTTACAGGTTTTAACTGATKGATAGCCAACATCAATTGCTTGTTGGAAAAAAATCCTCTTGGAAGGGAGTCCTGTCTGACTTGTACTAGTTCTTTTTATAGTACTTACTGGTTGTAGGTCTTACCCTTTTTACCTCTTTACTTAGAGTTTTCCTTCTTAAAACATACCACCTGAAGAAGCTTTAAGCCCTGGATTTTGGGCTGATGAGTAGAGACTTTGGTACAACTTCTCTTCCATCCTGAAACAGTACATAACCAGCTTATCTTCTTGMGCAAGACTTTCCTGGTGTTTACATGTAGTGGTAATAAGTCTGAACAGAATGGTTTACTACTCATACCATATTACAGTTTTTTGATACTGAATGTTTTCTTGAACTTGTTTATATCTRCTTTCAGAGTTTTAGGACAAAATATGTAGATGAAATACAGGCAGGTAAGTGAAACTTGTTTTAAAAGATAAGTCTTTACATGGGTAAACTTCTGTATTTCTATGGTAGCTGTAAACATTGGTGTATGACCTAAAAAAATCCATCTTGATTAAAATTGRGGAGAAAAGTAACAGGACTTCCTTTGTTTTGAAGTTCTATAGCAGTTCTTAGGAGTTCTGAGGGGAAAAAAATATGAAGGAAATAACATACAACTATCAGACGTATTAGTATTCCCAGCTATGCATATTCAAATAAGTAATTCAAATATTCTGTTACTGTCATATTAATCTGTTATATCTTGAAGACTGGGCAAAGGCCTTTTCTTTGTGGCAGATGTCACTTAAATCTGTCTTCAGTGGACTGAAAGAGAGAACTGTTATTTAACGTAAGTCTGTGGTTTATGTATGCGCATATGTATACAAACGTAACAACATTTTCTCGTGTTCTTCTCTCCCCTCCCCCCACCCTGCACAGTGCCTTCATTAAACTAAAACCTAACATATTCCTCAAAGGAATAAGAGTATGTGTAATAAAATATTCATGTGCATGTTGCTCTGTAATAGATCGGTTCCGATACTGTGACAGCCATGTTGACTTTTGCTGTTCAGGTTTAGAACTGTATCTGGAATTGCAAAGCAGCTTTGTCCTCTCTTCGTTTTGCTCCCTCTTGTAACAAAGGAAAGGGTCATCGCTTCATAACAAAGGAGTGTATTCAGATTAAGTATCCAAACAGATGACTCCTTATTTAGCCTGATTTGCTGGCTGCTGTAATCTGTTTTGTCCACTGCCATCAAGCTTACAATTTTTTCCACTCCGATTCACGAGGACCAAGCAAGAGCAATATGAGAGGTTGAACATGGCTGCAGTCTCGTAGACTTTCAGCTTGCTTAGATCTTTTTTAAATGACTATACCAGGAGGACTCCGCAGTTGCACAGAAACTAATTTTTCTCCTATTATTTTCATCAATTCTACACTAACACCACCGACTGATTCAGGAAGCCACTATGATATTACCTTACTGACATTGCTTGTAGTGGGGTCGTACAGCTTTTGTATTGTTCCTTTGTTAGCCACGTTTACTGGGAAAAGAAGTAGGTTGTATTCCTTTTTATTTCTATTTTAAAGCATGTATTTTGTTTTGTGGGGTTTGGTAAATATATGCAATGTTTTGATCTGCTAATTTTCTTGGAGATTATTTTTCTTTAGACAATTTTTTAYACTTGATTAGAATGATTTATGTCTAATAGTAAGGTTTTGTCAGTATAATGACTTTGGATTATGTTTAATTCATATGTTAGTGAAATTGTTATGACTTTAAATCAAATTGGAAAGAACTAARGAATTTTCTTTGTACTCTAATACTAAGTACAGTGCTGTTCTTGCTTTTTATTCTTGCATTTAGTCTACTATGTAATCATRTGAGTAAAAAATTTGTAAACCAAGTGTTTTTATTAGATTAGTGGGACACACAAAGATCAAAATGGGGGGCTTGTGCTGTCATGAAATTTGTGACAAACTATTGTGATTCTGTCAACAATATTAAATCAAAAAGGTGCTTGGCTTGTTTGGAGTTTGTCTTGTGTTAACAGAGAAAAAAAATGACGAGAGCATTTCTCCTGCTGTGTCAGCTYAGCCCTTTGTTATGGGATGTCCTTGGATTGGTAGTTCCATGTGGCAGCATTAGGGATTTGTTTTTTCATCTAATGAGCATTTGAACTTTATGATTCTTTTCTCTAAAATGACTTCTTATTTGTGAAGTTCAGAAATCATGGGGTTTAAGATGCTGTTGCTACTAAAAGCATATTTTGCATGGAAGCAGTTTGARCATTGACAACCAGATTTTTTAAACAGTAATCTCAGTTTTAACACTGAGTTGAAAATACTATCCTCTGAACATACCAAAATGTTTGAATTCAGAGGTTAAGAACAAGAATGCAAATTTTAATTGCATATAAAGTAAATAGTCTTTCAGAAGTTAGAAAGCTGATCCTAGCAGTTGACCAGGATCKGCATTTTTGTACAGTCAGTACTTCATTACAATTTTTTTAATCAAGTTCAGTTTTAAAACTCTTCTGATCTTTACTGGGCTGAGGTCAGTTCATATCTGTCCTTCTTTATTCAGGATCACAGTAGCCGCTCTGAATTCTGTGAATAAACAGCTTTGAATCCTAAAGTGATCAAATTCTGTAAATCTGTGGGGCTTTGTTGGGGGGTCTTTTGTTTGTTTTTTTTTGGTTTTGTTTTTGTTTTTTTTTTTTTTTTTTATCCTGCACACAGCCTGGTTGGCTGAATCCAGAGCTTTTATTAAGACAAAACAGTGACCTAACTAGTCCTGCATCAGAAGGCTGCTCACTTACCCAAGGCGTTACTTCTGTGGTGTGCTGCTGATTTAGAAGGAAGTAGCATGCTAGTTTGTGGGCAGTTGTTAGCTGCTTRCTGTGAACTCTGAGCAAACATCCCTAATTTAGTGATTTACAGAAGAAGTTAAGAACTGCTTCATGCCTCATGCTTCACTAAAACAAATTGGTTTTAATTATCTGATGTTGATCAGGGTCAGATTCCCACAGAATGACTGTGTTATGATGTGTTATGCAAATTGTTTGTCRTGTATAGATTCTTTWGCAAATTTTTAGCTTTTGTGCATTTAGAGAGGCTCCAACTTACTTTTTTTTWWAAAAAAAAGAAGAGGATRGTTTCAGTTGCATGTGTTTCTTGTAGGGAAACCCTCTTTCTGTAGTTGAAAATACCTAGTGGCCAAAAAGTAGTTAACTTACATGGTTTATGCTAATCTATTTAAAGACACTAAAATAATCTCAAGATTATATGTTCCATCCCTTGACGATCAATATTAGACCTGTAGTTCACATTGCCTTTAAAAAAGGCCAGTCTCATTAAAATACTAATGTGAGGAAAATCTGGTAATATATGACAAAAACTTCCCGCTCCCTCCCCATTTTTTTTATAGTGACTAGAGAGAAAAACAGCACTGTGACAATCAATTCCACAGTGACTTAATTTTTGCTTGTCTGTGGTAAATGACATGTGAATTTCTTACTCTTTAGCGTATTAGTAAGCATAATTTTTTGGTGYCCAAACCAAAGTCTACTCAATCTGTACTTACTTTAGGAATATTTTTGTATTTTTTCTGGAAAACCGAAATTGTTTGCTGAAAATGTCAGGTGTTTGTTTTTCAAGGAAAAGTTTTTATTGTGACCATTAACTCAAACATCTTTCAAGGTCCTTTGGTCTCTAGTAAAACAGACTTGGCTTGTGATTTAGTGCTCCCTAAACTGTATATGCCTTGAACAAATTCTTTGTGAATCTGTTTTGCAGCTGCAAGTGCCCCAGTCATCAGGAATGGAGAATGGCCTTCAAAACCAGCCTGCCAGAATGGTACTTCAGGATCTGTCCCTTTGAAGGCATTACCGAGACCTAGATTACACTCGTTGAGGTCGACTCCTAAAGGTATATGAGTCTGTTTGTACACGAGGAGATAAAATCAAATCTTAGGTGCTTCAGGTGTTCTAAGACTTTATAGGAAGGCTGAAATGTTGTTTCTATTGTTGTAATTGATGGGAGTATTTCAGGGAAATGAAGAGGTCCGCACTGTGGTATGGTTCAGGTTTGCATGGTACAGGGACTAAATGTGCCTTCATACGTGGCAGGTATCATAGCATGGGGTTTACATGATTTTAAGAAGAGCTGTTTTTTTGTTTGGTTTTTTTTTTTTTTTTTTTTTTTATTCAGGCACAGACCATGGCACTGCTGGTAATCTGCAAAGTAAACATACCTTGAATTTTTCTTGAGTGTATGGTTGTTCTTGTCCTCATGCAGACTTTGTATTATCTTCATCCCTTTCAGGACAGAAAGGGCYTTGGGGGATGGGGATATATTTTTGAATTGGGTATTATTAGATGTATCATCTTCTGTAGATCAATGACATTGTTCCATCTTTCCAAGGGAAGAGTCACAGAAATTTAGCTTTTTATGCTGCTTATTTCTTAATATTCTTCTATTAGGCTGAATTGGAAGCTTTAATAGAGATGACAATTAATTGGGTTATGTCATCTTTTTCTAAAAGAAACATTAAATGTAATTCCTGGCTTTGTATTAAATATTGTTCAGGTTCCTATTTCTGTTTGAGCTAGGACCCTTTTGATTGGCCAACAGCGCTTTTTCCACTCAAGCCAAAAACACTTGTTGGCAGCTCATTCTCCGACCAAAATTAAAGACATAATGGGAGCAGATAAATAAGCTTTCTGTGTCTCTTTCCTAAGTCCTAGCTGTAATCAGCTTGTTTGTGACCATCTTTGTGGTGAACTAGTTATTGTAATTGGATAAATCTAATTAAATACAGTACTCCTGCTTTAGACTTWAATTTTAAGCTGATATCTGACATGATTGAGAATAAATAAAATATGCCTGCCAAATGTCTTAAAGTGTTTTAAAAGAGTAAACAGTGAAAAGAAACAGAATTTGCCACAAACTCTTAATCACTTAGAAAGAAATGCAAATGATGTGGCTTTCTGACAAGCTGATGCATTCTGTTGGGGTCCAACAAATGCGGCACAACTATGCATACCTCATCATCTTAAGTGACCTGCAAGTGTGCCTTCAGCACCTGCAGGAGCAGTGTGGCCAAAGGAAGCTGGTATTCCCCTTCAGATCAGTGTTAGCTGGACTACTGTATTGTGTTTTGTGTCCTTCCCAGACCAAGAGCGTTATTTTGAAACTGGAAAGATCCATTGGAGGCTTGGTGAGGAGGGGGTTGGGGGAGTTGAGCTTCAGTAGTGAATAACTTGTAAAAAACAGCTATAAAGGTCATGGTGCCAAACTCTTCTCAGTAGCACCAGATGATGTGGCACTCAGAAATGTTTTCACATTGTAGAGTGGGAGATGCGTCCTTGCCCAGTGCTGCCATAGAGCTGTCCTTCCTGGAGATTTGCAAGGCTCATCTTGACAAAAGTCAACTGATCTTGTCTTAGTGGTAACCCTGCTCTGAGTGGGAGTCTGGATTCTGGCCTCTGGAGGTCTCTTTGAGCCAGTGTTTCCTTAGCTGTATTGTATTTGCTGCTGTTTGAGACTGAAGTAACTCAATCTTAGTGCTTAAATGAAGTCTTTACTAATGTTTTCTCCTTGGAAGCTTTTTAAAACTATCCTTTTATTTCTTCCAAGATGCGTTTTGGTTAAGCAAGGCTAAGTTTAAATGTTCTAGAAGGTTTCTCTTTTTGTGCTTGAGCAGATTTGTGTATTTTGTACTTAACTGTAAATATGTAAGATATATCTTTAATTGCTGACATAGTTCTGCTTTCAAGTTCATCTAAGCTTTTGCTTTTAGGACCCAAGACCAGGACTGCTTCACTGAACCAGTGCACACCAAAATCATCTGGGCCACTGCACTTAACAAGGAAAGTCAGTGAGACTAGAGGTAATCAGCTGTTGGGTAATTAATTTTTTTCACTTTGTCTTGAATCTCTCTGTCTTGAGAAAGAGCAACTATTCATGATTTCAGAATAATTGAGGTAGCTGTCTCATTTGTTTTGCAGTTCACCATTATTGGAGACTGGCTTTACAAAGTTGAGTTCCTTATGTATTTGCTTTAAGGACATTCATTGTCTACCATATGCTGGAAACTTGTATCCCATATGGACTAAAAAATCTGGATTATGTCTGTTAAATGATGTTCTGTCATCAGAAGGGTGTGTGCTCTGAAGACACAGTGTAGACTAGATTTTGCCAAGTTTGTGTTTAATTTAAGCAAGAACATGCTGATCACCTCTGGCTGTTGAGGGTATTTACTCCACTTTATGCTTCTGTATCAGACTTTTTTTAAATCTAACTTTGAATTAAAATTAGTCTTTTCTGCCAGAGTGAATGAAAAAATAGATATGAACCTTTGGACAAGCTTTGTGAGACCCAGTTTTCCCCTTGGGAGCAAGTCTGTATTTGCAAAACTGAGGCGGGGGAAACAAGTATAGTGGCAGTAAAAAGCAGCTTTTTTCATGATGGAACCCATGCTATAGGGTCACACACTATTCCTAAAGCATGCAGAAAGGTGTTTTCAAAATACCTTTTATGATCTTCTGCACATGACTTTTGCACTTACATCCAGCAGTCTGAAAGATTGCTTTCATTCAATATCTTTCAAAATAATAAGGTTCATAGGTCAATTTTCACATAACTTTTATCTAGTACAGTAAGGGTGGAATAACTTTCTCAGTGCTTTAATTTATACTTAACTTGATTGTTAGCACATTTGAGAATGTTGTTAATTTATTTCTCATCTATGCAAATAAAATAACTGTAGCATACGGGAGGAAGAAAATTGCTATAATCCCAGTATGGATTATGGTTTTTTATTATCTGTGGTCCTCTATGAATGAATAAAGGAAAACAGTGCTACCTGACTTAAATGAAATCTAGTAATTGTAATGGAATAATTGTAATTTTTAATGCATCCTGCATTTTCCGAGTAGTTTCTTAAAATGCTAAATCTTGCTGTAGAACCTGCCATCAGCCATCACAAGAAAGAAACTGAAATTGCAAAGTTTGAGGAGCTTATGTGGAAAGAATCTTAAAGAAAGGCAGTTCTACTGCCCCTTACTGGCTTGAAGTATAATTTTTTTTTGTTTGTTTCCTTTCCGAAGGTACTCCTGGAAGAAATGTATGCCAAAGCCTATCTTCTTTGGGTCCTGGTGAGTTTTCTGAATGCATATTTGTAGTTTCTGTGGTGCAACTCAAATTAGGTTTATATATTGTATTAGGGTTCTTTTCTAGGAAGAGCAGATAAGGAATGGATAATCCTGTAAACTATCACGACTCTAGTTTCAAGGAATATGGAAAAAAGCCCATATTCCTGGGTTTTGTCTACTTCTTGTGTTCTGGCTACTCAAGTCTTGGACTATGCAATCGGTTCTATCTGTTACACTGTTTCTAGTGAAACTTCATGAGGTTTAAACTGTTTWAAAAAAAAAAAAAAAGTGTGGAAATGAAACTTGGGTATAGTTTTTGCTGTTTAGCCAAAGTAAGTAATGAATGAACTCATGTTGCAGCTTTAAAAAACACCCAAACAATTAGAAGAATCCTGCAGAATCTTTCTTTTGTGATAACTGTAGATAACCTGTTGGCATGAGCTGCAGACTATGTTTGTGTAAGAAGTTGAAATTATCTGAGCATGTTGATGTGTGTCTCTGCTCTTATGGCAGAGGGAGAAATTGCAGCTGATTAAGTGGCAGATGGCGTTTGAAAATCTGGCAGAGTTTTAAGGACTTCATATTGCGTTTGTTTTTGGTGTTTGCGCCAGTCAGGACACCTGGTGCTAATTTCTGTCTGCCAAGAGACTGAAAAGTCTTCAGTTGATGCTTCTACTTGCAGCAATTTCCAGGTCTTTTCAAGAGAGTTGGCAGCCTACATTAGTTTCCTGAGCATCAGTGTGTATTTGTTGAATTAAAAGCTACTTGTAATTAATTACTCATTGAAAAGCCCTTTCTGAAAGATACTGAGGATCACTGGAAAGCCCTGTGTCCCCTGAGTGAATAGCAGATGTTTTTCTAAAAGAGGTGCTGTAGCCAAGCAGATGTTGTAAATTTGAGTCTGGAATTACTGAACAAATCAGTTCGGACCTGTAATTCTGGTACTGTGGCAGTATTTTTTAAATTTTCTGTAGTCATAATATGAATTTAATGCTTTTGTCTTTTACTTGCTTGGGTGTCAAATGTCTACATACTAATTGTGGCAGAGTATTTTGATAGCTTCTGTTCAGACTTTGCACCAAGTGCTTGTTCTGTTTGTTGCTTTTATAGATACTTGGCTGAACTAATGTTAGTTTAGGTAAAGCCTGACACTGAGTTTCAAGTGCTCAAACATAGTCTAAGCATGTAGCATAACATGGTAGAAGGATGAAGAGGATGATTCAGCTCACAACATAATATCTTGATCAGCTCAATTTAGAAAACTCCCAATAAGTAATAAAATCCATTTCTGGACTAGAAAATAGAAAAGTAAATTTCTCTTGTGCTTGCTTACTGTGGTCTCAAAATATACCTTTATTTCCCCCTAAGTTGAGAGTGCACATTCTCTCCATGCACAAAAGTTGTCTTACCTCCTTTTTACTGGTTTAATAGAACTTTGCTTATGATTCATCTTTTCTGATCTAATAAAGCATGTAGCTACATAGTTTTGAAGTGTTGGATTTGACGCCTTAAAAGCACAGCCATAAATTCCAAATTGGCTGTAATATTTAGCAATTCTTTAGTAAATGCTCTTTACTCATACTTTTGCCAGTAAAATGGCTGTATTTCAGTGTTTGCCTTAACAAACCCGGACTGCTTTACTGTGCTGAGTCAGTTTCCAAAATTGGAGTTATTAGGCATTCAACTTATTGCATTTCTAATTTGTACAGAGCGTTAGTATGATTTCCCACTTATGAATGCAGAGCTTTCTGGTGGAGTATTTTAGAAGTTTTTTTCCATCCTTACAGTTGCAGATAGCGCTTACAGAATAAAAATACTTTGTGACTCCTTGGATATTCTGCAGTACAATGTCCCACATTTTAAGAAAAGACAAATGATCTTTTTTGAAATGAGCTGAAATAATGCCAGCCAGTACCATGTAGAATGAGGCCTACTATCATTGTTTTATTTTTTTCTTTTGGCTTTGATATTATAGTGAAGCTTTGTTCTAGTGACTGCAGTTACTATAAAGCTTTTGTTCTTTTATTTCAGTGCCACAGTTAAGTCTACAGTTTTTAGCCTGCTCCAGTGAGGAGTTCCAGCCCCAGTTCTATTTCCTGCCCCTGTGCCCATGACTAATCTGTTGGAGCAGGACTCTTGATAACTAATTACAATGTTAAGGTATTAACTAAGTATCTAGCCCATTTATTCATGCTGCTTTTCACATTTCTTCAAGGATGATAAAACAGCAGGCTTTTCTAGATATGGTGTCTGTTCCTTTATTGTTGGTGCTGTTTCTCCATTTTCCATTTATTTGCGGCAGTGATGCATGGCCAGAATCTGCTTGACAAAGCAAGCCACACCATAGTCTTAGTGTGCCTGTAAAACAGGAGACTTGCCTGTTTGCAGCGGTTCATTTCTTCTTTGTGTTAAAATATTCACAAGGCTTCGTCTTCTGAATTCTGCAATTTTCATGGGTGTTCAGTGCATCAAATAAATTCTGAAATTTCTGTGGTGCATTTCTTCAGCACTGGCTTTAAAGCTAAGGTAGAATTAACTTCTTGGGAATAATATGTTTTATATAGTACTAATTAACTTGCTAATTTCAAGTAAGAATGTTCATGTGCTCTTACTGTCATGTCTTAATGTAACTACTAATAAAAATTTTGTCTCTTATGAGATGGAATTTTGAACTAGGTGCAAAATGGCCTCTAAAAATGCATAAAGTTAGAGCTGTTTCCTTTTTTCTTCAGGCCTTTCTTTTCCTTCAGCCTCTGTCTAATCCCTGTAGTATATTAAAGTGCAGTGTGTGTGGATGCAGTGGGTATTCACATCTCAGGTCTCTGTTATTGACCAAACATTAAGGAAAAGTTGCAACCCAGTAATCTCTGAAAGTACGTAAGCCAAGCAAAAGCAAATATCCTGTTTGGCAGTTCCAAAGTAAAAGCAATCATTTTGGGAAAAAAGCATGTGAATATTTGGCTTATTCTGTTGTTCCATGACCCTAAAAGTAATCTGTTGTGTTATGGATAACAGGTTGGGCTTTTGTGTGCAGCATTTGACTGTTGCCAGGACAACTGCTGGATACACCTGTAGAGTGTTATTAAATGTGAACATTGTGAGTTGTGTAGTACTGCGATGGAGCGTATACTCTGATTCAGACAGAAGTTGGAGGTATACTTTAAAATTCAGTTTACACCCCTTTCTTTCATGCTCTTAGTCATCCCTGTTGAAACTCAGAGGAAACAGTTTTTGTGTTGTCAGTTCTTTGGTAGGTTACCCTCAAAATACTTGCACTTCCCATGTCTGAAGAACAAGGATTTAAGTACACCACATTCTGATCGTGCTTTAACAACAACAAAAAAGACTGAATATTTTTAAATTATATATTGTACTGTGTCAAAATGTGTATTTTCTTTAAAAACTGGGAAGATGTTCTGAGAGCTGATGCACATTACAGAATACTATAGACAGTCAACTAAAGAGCKAGGTATTTGGCATTCATAACAATGYATGGCAGATAAGCCCAGCTGATGAGGGATATCTGCTCAAGTGACTTAAGGCTCTGTTTCTCCTTTTGTATCTGATCAGAAGATCTGTCAGGGTTTGTTATTTATTGGAGGGTGATGTGCATTTGCTTATAAACATTTTTGCATGTGTAGAAGAAACTCTTTGGGCAGTGGTRTTGTCTGGAGACTTGAAAAGGTCTTGATACATATGTGAATATATATGCCCTGGCAGCCAAGAGGTCTTCTACATTGCAGAAATAAGACCTCTGACTAGCTCTAACTGGGAATCAATATAAACGTGTTGGGTAGACTGGATTCTCAGTCTTTGGTGTTAAGAGCTTCAGCAGTTGTAAATAAGTTAAGTTCATCAGTTTTTCTGTCTCTGTACCTAACTCYGAAAGAAAGGCCAGGAAATCCTGCAGAAAAACTTGGAACAGTTTCATATGCTCTGGGGTGACGCAGGAACAAGATTAGATTTGTATTCATGTAATGTAGTTAATGTTATACACACTGGAAATTCTGGGAGTTGAACAATGTAAATAGTATTTTCCCTTTATCCATGAAAAGCAACAAAGAGATCAGGCTTAAACCTTATTGCAGGTATTTTTCTGTGKTTGGACTATTTTGTTGCCTTTCTAGATGCAATAAAAAGCTGGCTGTAGTCTTTTTTTAGATTTTTTTTTTCATCTATGTGAACTATGAGGACTATCTGAATGACTCAATTGTCTCGTGATCTAGCCTTAGAATACCTTCAGGTTAATGCTCTTATAAACAGACAGCAAAGCTACGAAGTAGTGTAGCTACTGCATGTGAACCAGCTATGAGAGCTGGCATTTGTTCAGCCATTTCTACATAAAGAAATGCAGAATTAATCTAAACGTATGTGGAGTTTCTTAATAAATGTATTCATTGGAGCTATACAATGATTTTTTTATTTTGAAGATCTCAGGGAACATCTATAAACTTGAAATAATCTTTGAAAGACAATAGCTATTTACCTTCTTGGCCAGATTTTTCCACTGTTACTAAATAAAGTATAGTAAAACAGCTGGATCTAAGGATTTAATTTCTTAGGTGAGAACTATAATGCTCCAGAAGTCTTTAAAGTGAAATGGCTGGTTCTGATGTTCAGAGAATGTGACCCTAAACTAATCTGTTTTGAGTGGGTTTTTTTCATTTGTTTGCTTTTATTTTTAGACAAACGTTGTTTTCCTGATGTAGTAGGTTTGTTAGAATAGACARCAGGATGCCAAAAAACGGAGATACATGACAGCACAGTATTAATGTATTCCACATTGGTCCCTTCAGCTGTTAGGTTAGTCTGTTGGGGTGTTTGCATTCATGTTCCTAGTGTTCTTCTAAAACTTGATCTTCTGAAAATTAACCATTTGAAGAGGTGGTCTGTGGTTTCATGCTATCAATAGGCACTGTTCCCTGTGCCTTCAACATATATTTTTACGAAAAACAATGAATTCCAAAACCTCAAGGCTTGTTCTGGAGTAACATATGGGCCAT